TAACTTATACAAATTGATTAAGTTCACATTGGAAATCATATCAATGGATACTTATTTACTTTATGCTGTTTAGTATAATTAAAAAAGATATAAACATAATTACTCATTATATTATACAAGTATTTGTATATAAATTGTAAATTTTTCTTTATTTTAACTAAAAAAAAAAAAAAATATAGAAGTTATATTATTTTAATTTTTTTTAATAACACTTTTAAAGAACACATTGAATAAATTGTTTTTTAAATTTCGATAAAGATGAGTTTATTATGTATTGGCATAAGTCTAATGAGTTTTGATCCTAAAAACTCTTATTTCATACGAAAACAAGTTTTCATTGATTATTGAGTATTATAATTCTTTAAAGCATATCTCGTATTAATCACATGAGATAACTGTGATATTTAATTCTTTTTGTTTTTAAGAAGATAGATATTGATTTTAGATAAAAAAAAATTTATATTTAGGACTTCAAATTTAGTGAATAAATATATTTATTATTATATTATTATATTATATATTACTATTTAGTATTATATAATTATTATCATTATCAACACTTTAAACTCTTCGACATCTTCAAACAGAACAGTCAAAATAATATTGCACTGTAATGTTTTACATTATTTTACATATCATTTAATATTTCTAAATATAGTACCATAGCTAGTAATAATAACTTTATTCGAACCTAGATTTTAAATTAAGAACTGCTGTTCTACGAGGGTATAAACGTGGTGAATATTAAACATATTTTGAATCCCTTCGTACATCCCCAACGACTATATCAATCTTTTCCTCGATTATGCATTTTTCACTCTAAGAATCAGTGAAGATTACCCATTCGAACGGCTTACCGGTTCACAATGAGAATAATGCGTAAGGAGACAATCGGATTTCGAATTTAATTTACCAATGAAGTAATCATTTTTATGTAATTACCTATATAAATCTAATAAAAATATTTATTTATTATCTCACGTGTGTTTAATGTTGTATATATATATATATGATACATATTTTATATATATACGTATGTGTACAAGAATACATGAATAAAAAAAATATATTTTATGTAAAAAAAAGATTTATTTTATCTAATAAAATAGTAATTTATAATAGAATACAATTTTTTTTAAATAACTTAATCAAAGCAAATTGCAATGTTAAATTCACACTTTAACAGTAAGCATTATTCAAATTTATTTTTGGAACATATATTAATATAAAAATAATTAATTTTCATAAAATAAATAAATCGTCATAAATACGTATTTTCATGAGAAAAATGGCATTTGTATAGTAAAAGTATCTTATATAACACACGAAGATAATTATTATACCATAAACCTAAATAATCGGTTTTGATGTTAAAATATAATAAGTATGATTCCGTTTAACTAAAATTTATTTCTAACATTACATATAGGTAACTACAGCTAATACATAAATTAAACGTTATATATGAAAATGTATGTTACATTAATATTTCATTTGCAGTATTTTCAAAGACCTAACCTATCTTTACGAATCATGAGCTAAAGATATTATACATAAATATATACATATGTGTGTGTGTGTGTGTGTGTGTGTTTATGTAGAAATTATATATAAATTATATACATATATATATTGTTAAGCGGATCATAAATTTAAAAATATTTTGAGTTAAACTCGTCTTGGTGTTATATATTTATTTTTTCAAATCCAATTCTCAAATTTACTTTTTTTGTCGACAAAATAAATATAACATAAAATCTAAATAAACGTTACATAATTGCTACCAAGTAATATTATAATTCTCTATTATACTAATATAAACTTAGCTACACATAAAAATTCATATATTAACAATTAAAAAAATACAATCGTTTGTTTTAATCATAATATTAACATATGTGAGGTTTTACAGTGATAAATCTAATGTATACCTTAATTTTACGATACAAACACTATAACAGAAGCTAAAACTAATTCTAATATTGTAAAATGCACGATCACTGTTGACGTTTTAAAAAAAGTGCTCTGTTTATATCATTAACGGTATGTTTTTCAGGGAAATATTATAAATAAATTGGTTGGACGGATGTGAATGGTCCTTCAAAACGAATCCAGAGCACACACTAAAATCGATTTTATTCGAATTATATTTATTCGAACGTATTCTTGTTATAGCTGCACGTAATTCTTGCAGCCATTAATCACTAATTATTTTAAGAAAAACAATAAATATTTGTTACAAAATTGATGTATAAAATATATATTTTATATAGTATATTATCTAGACAATCGATACACATACACATATATATATATATTTGTATATATGTATATATATAAACGTGCAATATTGCGAACTTTTTAAACTATTCAATTTAAATATATAAATAGATAAAATAAGCAATATAAAAAAATGGTCGCACCTTTACGGATATATAAATATACACATATGTATATATTGATTAAGAAGATAAAAGAGAAAGAAAGGAGAGAATTTTAAATAATATTAATATGTTATTAGTGAGTTATAAAGTATTAACTATCAAACAGACGATTGTTAAATTTATTGTCTTAATTTATTTTTGCTCATTTGTATTTTAAAATGCAAACAATTTCGACGATTACATTGATTCATGAGTATTATATTAAATTCAGTCGGTGTATTCATAAAAAAAAATCATTAAGCATTTTAAATCTCAATAGCTTAATTTTGTAGATTTTTATTCATTCATTAAAAACTATAAACAAAAAACTTTTATTTATTAAAAAAAGAATAACGTTTTATAAATACATTGATTAATTTAAAGACTACGGAAAGAAAAAAAATTGACACGATAAGACGATAGACGTGTAGTATAAGTATTATAAAATCAGCGTTAATTTACTGCTCAATATTATTTAGAAAAAAGGTATAAATTACACAATTTTTACCTTATATTAGTGTTCTCGTTGTTTTTTCCGATGTGATAAGATTGATGATTACTGATGACGTTTATCTTGAATTCCGTCCGCATGGCGTATTTGTGATCAACATCAAAGGAATAATCGCTTCTTTTTTTATTTTTATCAAAACCTGATAAAGGGAATAAATATTATAATATTATAGGGTAATGAGATAGTATCTTTTGTTCTAAGTGAGTAAATCTAAGTAATTTAAAATGATGAAAAAATATTAATAACTATAAAAACTTATTTTATTATTCTTAATTTTTTTTAAATATGAATGGTTTTTAAATACTATCAGCATTTTTTCTATTGGCTACTATTTGGTTTCAGTGAAGAATCGGCAAAAACACCAATTATTAAATAACTAAGTAAAATATATTAATATTATCATTAAAATCTTACCCTCACGCGTCACCAAAAACTTAAACTTTATTCCTTAATAATGATTTCGTATAATAATGTGCAAAAGTAATAAATAACATTTTTTATTTTTTTTAATTCTGATGATTGCATTGTAATAATTTAATATCATTACCCTTAAATCTAAAAAGAAAAAAAATATGTAATTATCATATATTTTATATTAAAATAGCATACACCATATATATCATTATATTAATCATTATATATTAATAAAATAGTGTTCGCTATGCATAACACCAGTCGGTGGTCATGATTTCGGTTTTCAGTCGATACGGAAATGCGATAAAAAATATAAAACGATAGCCAATCCCAACGATTCCGATTCCCAATCGTGTCTACTTTCTTTATAATCTAACCCCGTCAATTCATCTATTCCCTTACTAGTTTTCATGATAAAATCACTGACATAACAACTTTTATTTTTCCACCGAGCCTTCGAATACCTGTGGGTTTTAAGCTATATTAGCATTCAAGACAATAAAACATCTGATCAGGCCTTGATTTACGCAAGTGTAGATGGAGCAAAAGCACTTGGCACCCAATTTCCGAGGCCCCCGGTCTTCGTAAATTGTAGAAAATTGTATTTTTAAATTAATTCCACAAACATTTATTTTGTAAAATGTAATAACAACTGTCAATGTTCAGAGTTCAGTATATTTTTGTCATTCCACACTCCAGTTCTAATCAGTTACCATCACAAAATATTAAAATAATAATAATATAAAATTGTTTGACAATTAGAAATATTTGATACCTAATAACTATGTATAGATTTACTCTATTTACAGATTTACTGGTTGTTAGTGATGTTATGAGTATTTCGTTCACAAAATTACTATTTTTAGAACCACTGGTTTATATTTCATTCGATTTTGAAATTTTTTAAGTTTTAAGATGGGTATTTAACATAAATATTTTTTTTATTATCACCCCCCCCCCTCTATGTAAATTTTTTCTAGAACATTTTTTGACTTGGGGGGACCCAAAAAATATTGTGCACTTGACTCTAATTTTATTAAATCAAGCCCTGCTTGATCTTCTGACCACCTAACCACCAAAAACAACTGTTTCATTTCCACTAAAAATCAATCAGCTTTGATCATAATTTTCTACCTAAACATTAATTTCTCTTTTCACTGAATTATTCTTCATTTTGTGCTCTCTCCACACACATGAAGCTGTATGCGATTTAATTCACTTTCTGTTTTCATGATCTTCTCTGAAACTCATTATTCTACAAACTCCTTTATTGGATACTCTTCCCTTACGATAATCCTCCTTATTATTTCTCGTTTTTCTTCCGTCAACTCAATCATCATTAACTTCATCCTCAACGCAGATTTCCATATTTAAATTATTATAATTTATTTAAATTTATTGTAAAATATATTTCCTTTGTCTTGTAACCCAAATAATTTTTAATCACTGTATTTTTACAAAAATCAGATAATTTTCAAACTGCAGTACCTTTTAAATAAAAACAATAATTATAATAAAAAAAATTGTTCGATGAGCACAGTGATTTATGTATAATAATGTGCAATATATGTGTAATATATTTAAATATAACAATAACTGCAGTGTGAAAATAATTCGTTTAATTGATTAATTTGTTTTTTCTATTCCATTAGCGATCATTCGATAAGCACTCGTGTAGAACGATTGGACGAAGCAATAATGGAAGCGTCCAGAGAATTGGGTGAGCCAAGCGGATTATGACAATACTCGGAAACGAGCTGCTGAGTACGTGAAACTCGACACATAACGCATTATAAATATTATACTGTCATCACGTCATCTCACGGTATTCCGAAACAAACGCGCCAATTTCCACATGTAATACGTCCAAGAAACATTGCATAATATTTTCAACTCGAGTCACCGTTGTTATACATTATGATAATATATACTATATAAGTATTTGTACAATAACAAAAAGATTGTACAGTTTAAAGTTATTAAGTTTTAATTTTTTTGAAATGCAGTTAAATTATATTATTATCTTTACCATAAGAATTTAATATTTATTTAGATAAATATATATTACATAAATATAATATAATACGAATAACTATAATATGACGATACACATATGTGAACAAGTAAGCTTACATATTTTGTATACAATAATAATGAAGTGAAAAATATATCTAACGCACACATTTTAAATTAATAAAATAGAGATGCCGTTAATAATAAAAATACAAACAAACATTGTTCTTAACTCTATTGTTGTTATAATATATTGTTATAAAATGCCATTTCATATATATATATATATATTATTTTTTTTTTGTTGTTACATATATTATATAATATAATAATATAATATATTATATCCATTATGATGCCACGATGTAGTGCGCTAACCGTATTACACGATATTTATAATAATATAATGATCATTTATTTACAATAAAATTGTTTGTATATTATCATATTATTTGAGCGCGTGTAAATGATTTTTCAAAAAGGTAAGTGTTTGATTTTAATTTTTAAAACATTTATTATGATTAATTTAAATCATTGTAACTCGTCCTTATTATATTGTAGTATCAAATGTTTAGAAATCAAAAAACATCCACTTGGAGTCAAAAATATTAATACAATTAACGACTAGTATGTACAGTTAGATCCATTTATTATAATCAAATATGTTGAAAACAGAAAATATTAACTCTATTTTATTTGTGGATTGATAGTGTCCTAAATAATATACAGACATAACATATTTCATTAAAATTAATTATCAACCTCAAATATAAACCATATTTTTATCAAAAAACGATAGTGATAAACGTATAGACCTATTATATATATATATATATATATATATATATATATTATATAAAGTTTAGCTAATAAACCTATTCTCGTCAATGTTTTTATCCGTTGTTTAGCTTAAAATTTTATTTTCACGAATAATAAGTCATGTTATTGATAAAAAAATAAAGCATCCACTGACAAAAAGTATGTTTCCCGCAAATTAAATCAATACTATTATTGTTGTTTTAAGATTTATTTAAATTAATAACTGTATAATCATTGAACTATTACCTTTTATAGTAAATTCTAACTCTGTATATATATATATATATATATATATATATATATATATATTTTTTAACGTCATAAAACAGAAATTATTTTTTATTTTTAAAAAAAAAGAAATATTCACTTTAAATATTCTATATTTTTACGAATTAAACACTTGACTTTAGTTTTCACCTTTAATCCAATAAACACTTGTCCAACAACAAATCATCCTAAAATAATTAACTCTAATCTTGTTTAATTTTAATCATACTGTCGGTATATGTATTAATATTATTATTAAAGATAGTGATGTTATTTTAGATTTTGATACACAATGCGAGTCAGTTTTATTAAATCTCTAGAATACATTTCGTGTATCACAGTATTATAATGTCGAAAACTCATAACAGTATAAGTTGAATAGCGGACGAATATTATACGATATGCGTGTTATACGATAGTCAAACGTGAGTAGTAGTACAACGTGTGTTAATGTTCGTTTATTTTTTTACCCGAATCATGGTAAATGTTTTTAAATCGTGTATTTGATATTAAATTTCAATGATCGTTAGAATATTCTGTTATCCGATTTTAATTATTAATTTATATTGTTATTATTATGCATGTGTTTGTACAAATGTTGAAAAATTGCTTTAAATAATTCTCAAAAAAATATACACTTGCCTTGGCATATTATAAAATCAATAACTATACATATCACTCCTTCCGTTTGGAATATAAAATACAATACCTATAAAATACAAAGGAGCGTGTAATATCGAGGGATTCTTGACATGATACGACTGACAACGGTGATGACGTTAACAGAAGCTATTGATTTATTTACCATCCGTCGTATGATAAAAATCGTCCGGAAAAAAAAATACGCGAGTCACGTTAGGCCAACCGACACGGGCAAACAAATATCAATATAATTACTCGGAGCCCGGCAAGTTGGCAACATTTCATGGAGATTTTTTAACAGAAATTTTGGAGACATCTTTTATAATCGTCATGTATAATAATTATATTCTTTCAGGCATAAATAAATAGTCTGAAAATTTACACTCGTTCGAAATTTTTTTAAATCTCTAATACATTTGTGGACGATCGGATGATCAAATTCGAAAAAGTTGTACTACTTGTAAACATTTTTTAAAATTATACATACATTCTACGAAATTCGTCGCAATTTGAATTAAAAATACGGATACATCTTAATCGTGTAATCTAAGGTTGTCAATTCATTATTCTACGAGTATAACATTATTACGATGAAATAATATTGTAATAGTGGTTTAATCATGTAGCAGACAAATTATGGTATTATAATTTTAACGGACTACAGAAAGAGGAAAAAAAATCAGAAAACTTTATTCACCTTCATCACTGCCAAGTTGTTTTAAAACGCAACAGATTCCTGTCTAACATTTTATCGTTGCTTTTGTTGTTGTTGAATTGCGGACGTTAAATAATATGTGAATTCATCTCGGTTAATGTTGTCTTTTTCACCACTATGCAAGGGGTTCGGTTGTTACGCAAAACAATTGACCTTTACACGCGACTGGCGTTATTGCACGAAAGAAAAAATGCCGTTAACCTTTCGTAGATATATAGTAGTTCTGCAACCTTTATAACTGATTTTGGCCTAATCTTTTGCGCTGTCAATAATACATATTTACTGATATATTCACGTATGCGTTCACTGTATAGTAGACAAAAATAATAATAATATTAACATACACGAAATGTGAATAGGTTGCGCCTTTTTACAAGCGCCAAGTATGGTATATACAGTTTGCAGGCCAAATACAAGATTCAATATATACAAATAGTACATAAACATACATGATATACGCAATTAAAGATGTTCGTATTATAAATCATTATGATTGTAATCGTCCATGATAATGGAAAAAATCTATTCACCCAACAAGAAGTATCGAACTCGATTGGTCAAAATCAATGTGGATAAGATTAATACGAGTTCATCAGTAAATGAAATTATAATAGGAAAAATATTTACACTCTCTCCTAACACTTATTAATAATGTTTCAATTTAAAGAATAACTCACCGAAAGAACTTTGGTAAATAAAACAAATAGGTTAAAAAAGTAGATTTAGTGCTATTACGTTAAAATTCATCCAAACCCGTATCCTGTTCAGTTATTATTATCATGTTCTTGATATAGAATCAATACAATTAATCAAATTACATTAGATAAAAAAAAAAAAAAAAAACAAAGCTCAAGTTTTCAAACTATTGATTTTACAATGAAATTTCTAAACATTTTAATGGGAAATGTGTACTCCAAAAAGTTTCATACATTATAGTCTCTTTTAGTTGTAAATTTAACATTGTGATACTATAAAAAAATAATTTTTAAGTTCCTCGAAAAATTATAGAAAGTTTTCGAAAATGAATAAATAAATCAGTGTATTATAAAAAAAAAAATAGTTTTAAGTTACATGGTCGCATATAAATGTGTAGTTCGATATATTCTTAAAGCAGCGTCCACACTATCGTAACGAATCGGCGAACTGTTCGACTAAATGTTTGACAAACTATTAGACGAAGAACTGTTCGCCAAACAATCAAAATGTATTTACGTATGTTTGCGTGTTTTCCGTATAATAATAAATAATAACTATAAAATAAAAAAAACTGATTAAGTATAATTTTTGTATATTCATGAAAATATTCGTTAATATGTCTACAATGACATATTTTCAAATTTCAGGGAAGGGGAATCAACATTTTTTTTTAAATATAAGTGATTTTATAATATTATAAAAAAAAAATATAATACTATTATAATATTAATAATAATGAAAATTCTATTTTTCTATACCTTTTTAGCAAGTAATTTATGACAATTGAATATTTTTTTTCTTTTAGTAGAGTCAGGACCTGGAAACCCCACCCCCTTCAAAAAAATACGCCACTATGTCCGTACACGTCATTACATGGTCACGTAACATCCTTTGATATTACGGTGAAATGCCGATGACGAGTGAATTACTGGTTTGTTCGTTAAAAAGTAACAAGTTCACCGATTTTTTATCCACTAATCCTATTCACTAGCACATGTTTGTCATTTTGTTATACTGGTGTGGACATAGCTTAAGAAATCGAATATCCATTAGTGTATTTTATACATGCTTTAAATGTTTTTAAATTTTGTTTTATAGTTTTTATTTAATTTTTACCTTTCAATTTTAATTCAGAACTTATAACATTAAGTATCTAGTAAATTACATATTGTTTCTAAGCTATAAGTATTTCAGAAGTTCCAAAAGTTCTACAAGAACGTATACCTTGTTCTACAAATTCTACAAAAACACGATATATTAAATAAGGTGAATAGAATTTCGTTTAAGATCTGCGGAAAAATGTCATTTTCGTTGTACTTAAATTTCAAACAATAAATATTATATACAACAGTACTGTGCTTAAGTGAACCAAAACCGTGTTCGACGTCCGGTAAAATACCGAGTCTCAAAACTGCTAAACCTCTATGGACGAATTTCTCCATTACGATTGCAATAATTAATCTTGAATCTTTTTTATCATTAATCAATTAAGTGTTGTTGTACTTAATATATTTTATTCGTAAGTACCTACCCGTTATACATCGATCGAATCGTCCAGGAAACACATGACATATACTATCAACAACTGTATCCGTTTAGCCATTCATTCTTCACATCAAACGATAAAACGTACGAATATACGTCATCGTCGGACAACATGTTTTCAGACGACGAACAGTTTCAGAGACAATAATAGTTTTAGTTTACGTCGTCTAACAGACGAATATTATGATACCGTAATAGAGCTCACGCTCAAACACACAAGTGATTGGAAATGGGATTTAATCCAAAAACAATAATACATGCAGAAACATGAAACGTGACTTAGATACAAATGTTACAATTATACAATGTTTGTATGTTCAAACCGTA